GTATCATTACCGCTAGATTTTAGTCTAATATTTATTGCAACTATTTACGAGAGATATTGTTTTATAAGTGTTAAACAATATTTTTCAACCACTGTGTACAAACAGGGGCCAGCCATGAAACACCGGATGGTAGGACCATTTTCGCATTTAAGCTGTTCTGAAATCCAACAACCGTATGCGGCCCTTCAAACGAGATTCCCCGTACCGTGAGCAGTTAAAAGGTATTATAACAACACTTTGTATAATTTATAATACTTAGCACATATATTGTTTATAGGTTCATAATAACGATAATGAACTTAAACATAAGTTATACTTAAAGTAGGGTTAGCATAACTTACTTACAAATGGGTTTTAGCTAGGAGTCGGGTTGTGCAGGGGCAGAACTTCGTTGTTGAATATTTCTAAAAAAGGTATTGCAGCGCTTCAACGCTCACCTTACTATACTAAAACTACAGAAAGATAAGTCGAATCACGAGGGACTAAAATGCTCGGGGAATAAGAAGAGAAAGACTCTTGAGTCAAGAGAATGGTGCAAGAAATATAAGAGCCTAAAGGCTCTTATTTATAGTAATTGAATTTTCAAAAACCACCATCTATAGTTACTTAAATGACTAAACACCCCTTTATGATACTATTTTAAATAGATTTAACGATATTTGTAGTAAACTAATGTCGAAAGTACTCAACACTAGTATTATAATGATCACATCATCAATACCTTTCTAATGATATATACATATGTATATATATGTATACATATATATGATTTATACTTTATTTTAATATGTAAATATGCTATTATAAATTATAACTCGTTTATACGAACTCCGTTTTTGACGTTCTTTATATCCATGTGTAGCTATCAACGAGATCTACAACTTTTGTCTAGACTCCGTCGGCTAATTTTGACATTATTTTTTCGTCCATATTTTAATAAAACTAAATGATTTTGCTAAAATTATAACTCTCTCGTCCGGATTCCGATTTTGACATTCTTTTTCTTAAAATTCTTATTTTAAAGAGTACTACGGTTTTCTTTTTGGTGGCTTTAGCTAAAAGTCAATCATTCTTATCGTAGCTTTTTTACGTCATACATTCGTTGTGCACGGCTGAGTTTTATATATTATAAAATCATATCTAATTCATACGGAGTCGGATTTGTACGACATTTATATTTTTGGGTTCGGGAAGACGTGTACTTTATATATATATATATATATATATATATATATATATATATATATATATATATATATATATATATATATATAGATATATATATATATATATATATATATATATATATATATGTTTTGGCGAACTTATTTTACGATTTACGGACGATTCGACTGATTTTTCCTATTTTATCATATTATAATAATCATGAAACACATAATATTCATATAATTCTTCTTTATTAAATCAAATTAGTTACAATTGTTGACCATAACTATTACTTTGTTTAAGATTATTTATCCTATATAGTCTTTTAAAAAAATCATTTTTAACGCTTATTATATTTTAGATGACTAGCCCAAATCTGCGGGTGTTACATAAACAGTGCAACCCAACCCGCTAAAGCACTTCCTAGGCTCTCCTAGGTTCCCGACCTCACCCTGCCATCAGCTCCTGAAAAACTCACAATAATGTCAGCTAACCACTTCATGAATACAATCACATGTAACAAAGCTTAGATAATCCTTCGAGTAAAAGACTCAACCCTACAACGGTTGGACTCAGACAAGAGTTGACAATAGAGTCAAATCCATAGCTCTGAGATAATTTAACCCTTACAACATGTGGTTGAACATATTCACTTAATAATTAACTAACATCACTAAGAGTTCCACAAAGCACAAAGCAAGTAGCATCCGTACAGTAAAACTCCAAGCCATAAAACAAACAAAGGGCATCCCACACTCACTTGTTACTACCATGCTAGGAACTTCTAATCTTACTCTCGCTTGCCTTATGCATGCAAATTATACACAATCTAGGATCAAATAGACTATCGAGTAAAAGATTCTACTCTAGGACCACAACCAGACAAGGAACAGGAAATAAGGCCAAATCAATCATTCTAGGGCTATATGATCCTAACCGTATACAACTTTTAAAGCATACACTTAGCGATTGTTGTTACCAATACATATTCCCAATCATAGCATCCAATGCTTCCTAGGCTACAAGGCATCACATATCAGGCCGATCTATCATGCAATTCCTGAAAGTATCCCTAGCTTTATCCTAGCATTTGAACATCATATATCATATCAACATGTATGCGTATTCTAGGAATCACTTACTTGAGCTCGGCTGATTGCACGCATCACACCCCCTTTTTGTTTATAAAAATCTTTTCAGAAACTTATTTTCTTTACAAAAAATCTTTTTAGAAACTTATTTTCTTTCAAAAGATTACCAATTCTTCAGTGTGAGTTCATACATACCCAAAAGTGTGTCCGAATCCCTCAAACCAAGGCTCTGATACCAAGTTGTAACGTCTAAAACTCATATCCAAGCCCAAAATGATGTCCTAAGTCATAAAGTTTCCAACTTTATGACTTTTGCATGGCTATAAAGTGCTTAATGTCCAATACCATAAGTTCTTAACCCAATAAGACATCACAACTCTTGTATGGAAGGGATAGAAGGGCCAAGATCACATTTTTATGGTTCATAATAGCTCCATAATGGATAAAGTTTCCAACTTTATCCATTAGAATGGTCCAAACAAACAAGATCTAGTCTTTAAGTCTCAAAGGGATCCAAAAGTGCATCTTTTTCAACTTAATCCATTAAGTACAAGTCTCCAACCTTCATATCTGAATCAAAATGATGTTTAGATGGATTAAGTTCCAACTTTATCCATAACAAGGTCACAAACTTTAAAGATCTAAACTTTATGCACTTAAAGTGACCAAAAGCTCATAACACCCAAAACTAGCTAGATCTAACAATTTCATCATCAAGATTCAAACTTTATACCGCTAGAAGAAAGATCATGGTGAGCAAGTCTGGATCTACAAGCTCCAATGCAACCAACACTTCTTCAATGAGTTCCTTCTTCTCCAAGGTGCACCAAGAGCATTCCAAAGCACTTAAAAACACTTTCTTTTTGCTCACAAGGCTCAATCTAGGGTTATGGTTACAAGAGAGGGTGTTGGAGAGGTGGAGGTTGAGAATGGAATGGGTTTGAGGAGTTAAGGAGTTTAAATAGGGATCAAACCACGAAAATAGGGTTTGAGCACTGATCGTGTACGCCCAACGTACTCAATTTACACCCAGTGTACTAGGGATGCCCTAATACGCCCAACATACACGTTAAGTACGCCCATCATACGCGGCTCATCCCAAAACTGTCTTAACTTCAAACGGTCATAACTTCTTCGTTCCAACTCCGTTTTCGACGAACTTTATATCCACGGAAAGGTATTGAAGAACTCTACAATATCATCTAAATATCTTGGACCAAAAGCTTCTCGAAAAAAATTCATATTTCATGCAAGAACCCGGCCTATGACTTTTTCCGTTTTACCCTTTGACTCCAAAACACAATTCAGATTAGGAGTGAGCATCGTGCGGTTCGGTGCGGTTTTTGGACTTAATCGAACCACAAACCGCAAGTTGCGGTTATACATAATGAAAAACCGAACTTTGCGGTTTTGTTTCGGTGCGGTTTTGCGGTTTTTCTTGCGGTTTTGCGGTTCTTTCGGTGCGGTTTCGGTTTTTTAACCGAAAAATAAATTGGTTTGTTGCATTTTTTTTACACATTTTCTTTTATTATTTTGCACACACTACACATATATATTATTTTAAATCCACTATATATAATTAATTTATTGTATTCTTTTACATACAACAAGATTTATGATCTCTTAGTTTACACACATATGATTTCACAAAATTTATTCTTTTACACACACACACACACACACACACACACACACATATATATATATATATATATATATATATATATATATATATATCGGTGCGGTTCGGTTTTTTTGCGGTTTTTTCAAAACTCGAAACCGCACCGCACCGAAAACTTTCGGTTTTTGCAAAGGTAGAAACCGCACCGTCGGTTTTTATTTCGGTTTCGGTTTTTCGGTCTCGGTTTTGCGGTTTTTCGGTTTGCGGTTCGGTTTTTGCTCACCCCTAATTCAGATGTTTAAATCTCATAACCATCATTACCTCCTTCCAAAAGGTCTAAACATCGCCTCTTTAAGGCCCAAAGCCTTTACACAATCGACTTCCGGGCAATGGTCCTGAATCACAAAATGATCCCGAACAGGGTGTTACAAATCTCATTACATAAAATGAACCGGTGACTATAATCCATGGCTACACCCAGACCTTCAAGAAACCCAGATTTATGTGTTTTTTCAATTTTGACTTTCCTGACGTCTGGAACTTTGAATCGAGAATTTGGTTTGGGGTTAGGAGTCTTAAGACTTAGTCACTTAGGGCACGTCGTATATTGACTATAATCCTTTAATTTATAAATAAAATTTTAGTTTTTTTAATATATATATATATATATATATATATATATATATATATATATATAGTCGGGATGACGGAATGACCTGCGAAACGGTAACTCACCCAATCCATGAAATAAACGGATTGACGGGTCAAAATTTTCAACCCAAATCCGTTTATTTTCATATTGAGTTACGAATTTTGATCGAAAATTGTTGCATTTAAATTGTCTTGTATTTAGTTTAAAAAAACAACTTTACAAATGATTTTTCGTTGAAATGGCCAAAATTTTAAAAGTTTATTGAAAAATTCCCCGAATTTTTTACTTTGACGTGACAAATAATTGTATTATTTTCTATTTTCTCGATGTTAACCCCTCGCTTCAAACATCAATGTGAATAATAAATTAATAATCGTAACTAAGAATATCTTTAGTAATTATATTTTTATTAGTAAAGAGCTACGACACGTAAGTACTAAGTACGCTCCGCATCAAATTTTGTACATGATCAATTCAGATCATCTGCGTCCGGAAGTTTTGTCAGGCCACCGTCCACCGCTAGATCGTGGCCGGTGATATAGGATGAACTTTCTGAGGCCAGAAACAACACAGCTTCCGCTACACGATCTACAGTCAATTCGATCCCTTTCAAGCTCGACAATGTCTCATATAGCTCCATTGTCTTCTTCGCAGCCTCCGGCGATCTCTTCGACAGCGACGTCACAACAGCTGACGGCGAAACGCAATTCACTCTTATTCCGTGCACACCGAGCTGCTTGCTCGCCGATCGCACCAATCCAACCACCGCATGCTTCGCCATCACGTAGTCCGTCCGTGAACTCCCTCCTCTTGAGGCGGCGACGCTCGCCGTGCAGATGATGTTTCCTCTCACGCGTTTCTCCACCATTGCACGCGCTGCATGCTTCACGCATGCGGCAGTTCCACGGGCGTTGACGGCGTAAAGGCGGTCGAATTGTGTTAGATCGAGATCTAAAACCGTCTGTTTGGAGGTGCTGAGAATTCCGGCGTTGCTGAACATGATGTCTAGTCTACCGTATGAATTAACGGTGAAATTAACGACGGCGATCACTTGCTGTTCATCGGCGACGTCACAGTGGAAATAGGTGCATCGTTCTGAACCGATGGAATCGGCTACTTGTTGACCTTGTTCGTCTTGGATGTCGGCGATTACGATAAGTGCGCCGTGTTTGGCGAAGAGACGCGCTGTCGCTTCTCCGATTCCGCTTGCTCCGCCGGTGATTATGGATACTTTTTGGTCGAGTTTCAAAGTATGTTCAATTACTTCTGCCATCTGATCTCTCTTCCAGATATCGAGTTATTCCAACAACTTTTAACTCTGAATAAAATTAGACAAAACGAGCTCAGCGTGGGGCCAAAACCCATCGTGTACGTCTGTCATTTATCATATATTCTCCTAATTTTCATTTTTTTTTTATAATTTGCTCAACTTTTAGTTTCAACGTAAAACATGTGAAATTTACGATTTGTGTTTATTATTCACACATACCTAAATCTGCATGAATGTATTATACTATTATGCGAGTATCCCTCATCAATCCTAGAAATGTGATTATAAACTTGTAGAGAACATAAAGGATGAGAGTGTCTTGAAAAAAGGATTTCATAGATTTTATTTTATTAATCAAGCTAGTATTCATACGCGAAGAAGAGTTCCAGTATCATCATAAAGAATAAAGATATAAAAGGCTTCCATAAGAATCTTCATGTTTATTATGATTTTACATCATAATTCTATCATATAGTTGTTACAAAATATTTACCGTAAATGTAAAACCGGACTCCAATGATGCAAACCGATAACATGAAAAATGATATTTAAATATACAATCTGAATTCCAGTTGTATGTCAAAACATGTTGACTAAAGCACATGTATAACACACTCTATTTTGAATTAGCACCAACAACCTTGCCATTCACTTCGCATTCTTTATTTTTGTTCATTATAAACCCAGGGATACTTGGGATTTCACCTGCTACCTAAAAATAACACTATAAATTTATATTATCTATTAACATCGGAAATATACAAAAACTACAAAAACCCTTCTAACGGCGTCAACGCTTTCGGTGGGATCGCCAATCACCATCCAATCTAGTCTTTTTAATTTTAATAGGGACTAAATCCACAATTAAACTAGACTATCTCTACAATTTTAAATAGCTTTATACCTTACCTCAAAGAAAATAACAAACGACATGAACCATATTTGCAATTTTGTCTAAGCGATATAAGAAAAATGACAAAAATGCATTTCCTTCTAGAACCAAATGACATTTAGGCATGGTATATATATAAAGTGTCTTAACTCTATTGCATATAGCTTTTGAGTAGTTTAATTTATAAACATATACAAAAGGACTATTATTCTTATGTTTGTATAAACAAAGGTTGGTGTCAGAGAGATTCTCACAAAATTTGAAGGAATTGAAATATGTAACCACTGATATGGAATAAAATCTGTTTTTTTTTTGTTTGATTTGCGGATTTGTCAAAAGAATTAGAAAGTCAATGTTGTAATATGACCGACATGTTCGTTTCTTAATTTTTTATAATTTATATTTATTTTAATAAATTATAAACTTTCATTAAATAAACTTTTATCCGTTCAAACTTATGTGAGCTTGTGGAAGTAAACGAGTAAGTGTGAGTGTAGGTTTAGGGTGGATATGAGGGAGGGTGAGGGTTGGCGGTTGACGGGGAAGGAGTGTATGTATGGATGTAGACGTTAAAGTTGGGTGAGGGCAATGTGTGTTTAAGAGTGGGTGGGTGTGGCCATTTAGGTAGGGTGAGGTTGAAGGTGGTGTATTATATAGGTAAAATGGGGTGGGGAGGTGGGGGTGGGTGTGAGAGTTGGATGCCTGGATGGGTGTAGGGATGAAGTGTAGGTGGGTGGATGTGAGTAGGGTGTATGTTTATGAGTTTGGGTGTTAGGATGAGGTGAGCTTGTGGGTATAGGTGTGAGGTGCGGTTATAGGGCGACATTGGTGTAAGGGTTGGTGGATGGGTGGGTGTCAGAGAAATGATGATAATAATTTGAACAAATTACTAAAATCGTCACAATGGTTTGGCCAAATTACGTGTTTAGTCTCTATTTTTTTTTGCATTCAGACCGTCCCTATAGTTTCTTTTTGGTGCGATTTTCGTCCCTGATAGACATGGAATGACTATTATATCCTTATCGGATTTTTTATATATTTAAAATTAAAGATTATTTCATAAAATTATTTTAGATATTATTAAAAAAACTTGGGCCCCACGCATCTCCAAACCCCCAACCCACCCCTTCCCTTCTAGATTTGAAGCCATCGATTGTAACTTGTAAGCTCACCATATCTCTCCCTCTAAACTCAACCGTAAAGCACCGATCTACCCTGAAGTCCTTGTCGGAGCCGCCGCCAGAAACATGCGATTCTAAAGTCACCACCATCAGCGAGCATGTAAACACCACCATTGGAAGCCTACACCCCTAAATCCACCGGAAACCTGCAACTCTAAAGTCGTCGAAATCTGCAACTATGTTGTTCTTCTCCACCTCTGCACGTCGCCCACAAAAATTTCATTCATATACATCAGCTACAACAATTTCATTTTTTGCTCAAGGATTTTGGGAACCCAGATGCACACCATCGATTTTTCACCATCCATTTCCAGGTTTCTTCCCTTGCCACCGAAGCACCTACACCTCTAAATCTGACATCGAACATGTATGTAACGCCCGTAGATTCGGGCTAGTCAATTTAGAGACAATAAGCATCAAAAATGAGTTATTGATGGAATATTATTAGAAGGATTAATCTTAACCAAGTGGTAGTATATGTTACAAGGGTTCCGTATATATAAAGAACGCAGAAATCCGAGTTATAACGAAGAAGTTATGGCCCGTTGAAGTTTTACGGCAAAACCGGCACGGCACCGGGAGACGTAAATAGTGAATTTACGATAGAGGACTTTTTGGCCTTAGCGATCTAAACAAAAGTTGTAGTATACGTTAAACCGAGAGCGTGCATAAAAAGAACGCCCAAATCTGACTTCGTATGAGGAAGTTATGAATTTTCTAAGATTTGGCATGGCAGTGCACGGCCCGAAACTCGAATTTTAGATCGAGCGGTTTTTGGCCTACGTGACCTACATGAGAGTTGCATATCTCATTAATAGGAAGTCAACGATAAAAAGACAGATGAAAACGGAGTCTGTATGAAAGAGTTACGAATTTTCCGCAGTCATTTAACAGTATAATCTCCTCATACTGTTAAATTTAAGATCAGTTGGGAATTAGCCGACGGAGTCAAAAGTAAAGTTGTAGATCTTTTTTTACCTACGCGTGGATATAAAGAACGTCGGAAACGGAGCTCGTATGCAAAAGTTACGGGGTTTAGAAGTCGGCAGGGTGCTGCGGCAAAAGGGGTGACGTGGCACAATCTTGGCCATTGTTTTCTCCCCAAGGCTTGCCACAAGATGGTGACATGTGGCACCAACTTCAGCCATACTTCACCCTATAAATACAACCCCTTCCACCCTCCTTTCCTTCACCCTTCTCTCCTCTCTCTCTCTCTCTCTCTCTCTCTCTCTCTCTCTCTCTCTCTCTAAACCTCCCAAAACTCCCCTAGCGCTAGAAGAAAGCCCCGGAGCGCTCGACGGCTTCGAGAAGAAGAGCTTTCGGCTAGGAAGTTCTGCCCCTGCAGAGCTCAGCTTCTATCCAAACCTCCTCATAGGTAAGATAAGTCTACACTATTTTAAATATAGTTTTTATTTAAATATAGTAATGTTATTAGGACCTTATAATAAATATTTGGGCTATTATTATGAGTTATATAAGTGTCGTTATAATATCTAATTAACCACTCGCGGTACGGGGAATCTGGTTTGGAGGGCCGCTTGGGTTGCTGGATTTCAGAAGTGCTATATGCCAAAATGATCCTGCCCTCCGATGTTCCATGTCTGGCCCCTACCTGTACATAGTGAGTGAAAAGTATTGTGTTAACGCTTATATAATAGTAATAATAGTTAGACTATTAATTAGTCTCGTCGAGCATTAGACTAAACTCTAGTGGTAATGATACTAGGTTCTGTCAAAGGAGTTGTTTAAAGTAAACGAAGTGTCGTCCGAGTACCGAGTCACCACCTTATCAGGTGAGTGCATAGTCCCTTTCATGAACATAATTTTAATACAAGTATTGATTGAAGTATTAAATATATGTTTATGTATGAGTTATTTGATGTTGCCTGAAATACGTGTTAAAGATCATACCTGATTATATATGATGATTTAGGATAAAGAGTAAACCTAAATTAATTATGAGGAATATTTGGTAGTATTTTCTTACGAGTACGAGTGAGTTATACTCAGAGAATAGAACTTTAGTATATGTCATTGATCCGGGAGCATGGATTAGACATAGTCATTGTCCCTAGTCCGAGAGTATGGATTGGACATAGCCAACTGTCATTAATCTGGGAGTATGGATTAAGACATAGTCAGTTGTCCTTAGTCCGGGAGTATGGATTAAGACACAGTCAGTCGTCCTCAGTCCGGGAGTATGGATAGGACATAGTCATCCGTCGTTAATCCGGGAGAATGGATTTCACATAGACACTTGTCCCTAATCCGAGAGTATGGAATGGGCACAATTATTTATCCGAGAGCATGAATTAGATCCGAGAGTATGGGTTAAGTAAGAGGTAAAATTTAAGGTCTGAGAGTATGGATAGTTTCGTTGTAAGGATTAACGGGGTGGGGTAAGAGTTGCTTATGTATATATATGGTGAAATTGTATATTTTGTGAGTTCTAAATTATATGATATAACATTGTGGGATTGAAATCCCTATGTACTCACCAGGTTTCCCAACCTGACCCACTCAAGCTTATTTGTATCACAGGTGTCGATACGAAGTTACAATACACTGAGAGATTAAGGAGATATAAATCACTAGTGAAAATGAATGTAAGTTATGTTTATGCTTATGTTTCTGTATTGACCAAGACATCCCAAGTGTTTTAAAATGAATAAAAAAAATACATTTCTTCGGAAATGCTTTGATAACGTATTTATCATGTTTTACTGGGAACAAATTCCGCAACATTTTTATTAAAACAAGTACTCTGATTTTTATAAAGCATAAACAAAATCGGTCTTTTCTGGCCTCGAAAATGGGGATGTCACAATGTACCTCAAGTCGTCATCATACCAGAAGGGTTATTTGATTTCCAGGTTTGAGGTTGGATGATTTTATGTGTGCAACCCAAAGCTTTTCTGAATCCTCCTTCT